TTAGTTGATACAGAGTCTTGCTTAGTGTGCCAAGTGTACTGCAAATAACTGGGCACTGCTTTTCATCAGAAAATACACTTTTATATTTCTTTTCCTACTGACAGGAAATGTAGATGAGGAAGGACCTTGGAGACGGAGGTCACTGATCTATGGCATGTGAGTGAAACTTCAAAAAGGGCAGGAAGGAGGACCCAGGAGACTACAGGCCAGTCAGGCTCACCTCCATCCCTGGAAAGGTGATGGAACAGCTCATTCTGGATGTCATCTCTAAGCATGTGGAGGAAAAGAAGGTTATCAGGAGTAATCAACATGGATTCACCAAGGGGAAATCATGCTTGACCAATCTGATAGCCTTCTATGGTTTTATGACTGCCTGGGTAGATGCAGCAGATGTTGTCTACCTTGACTTCAGCAAGCCTTTTGACACTGTCTCCCATAACATCCTCATAGGTAAGCTCAGGAAGTGTGGGTTAGATGAGTGGACAGTGAGATGGATTGAGAACTGGCTGAATGGCAGAGCTCAGAGGGTTGTGATCAGTGGCGCAGAGCCTAGTTGGAGGCCTGTAGCTGGTGGTGTTCCCCAGGGGTCAGTACTGGGTCCAGTCTTGTTCAGCTGATTCATCAATGACCTGGATGAAGGGACAGTGTACCCTCAGCAAGTTTGCTGATGATGCAAAACTGGGAGGAGTGGCTGATACACCAGAAGGCTGTGTTGCAATGTAGCGAGACCTGGACGGGCTAGAGAGCTCCTAGTTGGAGGCCTGTAGCTGGTGGTGTTCCCCAGGGGTCAGTACTGGGTCCAGTCTTGTTCAGCTGATTCATCAATGACCTGGATGAAGGGACAGTGTACCCTCAGCAAGTTTGCTGATGATGCAAAACTGGGAGGAGTGGCTGATACACCAGAAGGCTGTGTTGCAATGTAGCGAGACCTGGACGGGCTAGAGAGCTGGGCGGAGAGGAACCCAATGAAGTTTCAAAAAGGAGGAATAACCCCACGCACCAGTACAGGTTAGGGGCTGACCTGCTAGAAAGCAGCTCTGCAGAGAAGGACCTGGGAGTCCTGGTGGACACGCTAACCATGCTCCAGCAGTGTGCTCTTGCGGCCAAGGTGGCCAATGGTATCATGGGGCTCATTAGGAAGAGTGTGGCCAGCAGGTTGAGGGAGGTTAGCCTCCCCCTCTACTCTGCCCTGGTGAGGCCACAGCCGGAGTACTGTGTCCAGGTCTGGGCTCCCCGGTTGAAGAAAGACAAGGAACTACTGGAGAGGGTCCAGCAGAGGGCTACAAAGGTGATTAGGGGACTGGAGCATCTCTCTTATGAGGAAAGGCTGAGACAGCTGGGTCTGGTTAGCCTGGAGGAGAGGAGACTGAGAGGGGATTGTATCAACACTTAGAAATATCTAAGTGCAGGTGTAAGGAGGATGAGGCCAGACTCTTTTCAGTGGTGCCCAACAACAGGGTAAGGGGCAACAGGCACAAACTGAAACACAGGAAGTTCCATCTGAGTATGAGGAAAAACTTCTTTACTTTGAGGGTGACAGAACACTAGAACAGGCCACCCAGAGATGTCGTAGAGTCTCCTTCTCTGGAGATACTCAAAACCCACCTGGACATGATCCTGTGCAGCCTGCTCTAGGTGAACCTGCTTTAGCATGGGGATTGGACTAGATCTCCAGAGGTCCCTTCCAACCCCAGCCATTCTGTGATTAGAGACCAGGTGGCATATGATGGCCCTGCACTAGTAGGAGCCTGGAGTGACTGCTTTCTGAGAGGGAAAATCTTTTGTCTGTACTTGTCTGTGGCTTCCATTGCATTTGGAAGGTGGTGGGAGCTAGGACTCAAATTCTACTCGACGTTAGGTCTCATATTTTAGATATAAGAAGCAAGGAACCGTAGGGCAAGTCTTAGTGAGTATCTTCTTTTAATATCAGTCTAGGGCTGTGGTTCCAGTTTAGCATTTCTCGCTTTACAATGGGAATTGTAGATATTTGGCTTGTTTCTATATGGCAATTATGAATTATGCTTCCACAGTAGAAGAAAAGGTGAAAAGCATCAAAATTAAAAATTCAGTTAAACCTTGTTATGCTCTGTGTAGTCTGGCAAGTTTAGTCTATGTCGAGTTTCAATAATACACATGCTACACAAGCTGATGATTAATGGGGAAAATTGTTAGTGTCTTGTTCACAAAAGCATTCAATGTCTTTAAAATTATCCTATTGAATCTCTTGACACTCTTCAGCAAATTTCAGCTCAGCAGTTATGTTGAAGTGTCAGTGATGTCATCACGTTGCAAGAAAACTGCTTGGTTATAAAGTTTTATCTGTGTGCTTATCTCCTTTTCTCAGCCTTGTTGGAGCTCTTTCCTATCTGGCAAATATGACAGGAACAGGCTGAACTGATGGTAAACAAAAGCACAAGGGCATGTGTGACTAAAAACCCTCAGGAACAAGAGGAGAAGTAATCAAGAATAAGAAGTAATCTAATGAGTCTCAGAGTGTAAAGATTGAGAAACATTACAGCACAAGTATTTGTTTAAAAAAAAAAATAGTTCATTGTCAGTTTGATGTTTTTGGAACTGGCTCCTGGTTAACACAAAGATGATTTCCTGCAAGCTCCCTTAACTCCTGTAGTTTTATTAAAATCAGGGACATAAGCTGTTACCTATTTCATGAGTTGTACACAAAACTAATTTCCTTCTAAAATTT